GTACATAGTAAAAATCAGAAAGAACATATGCAACATTTAGAAATAGTTTTAAATAAATTTATAGAACACGGTCTAATTCTAAGTAAAAAGAAAATGGAAATAAATAAATGAATAATTGAGTTTCTAGTAATAATTTTAGGAAAAGGAAAAATTCAGTTGCAACCACATATAGTACAAACAATTTTACAGTCTCCAGACAAAATAGAAGAAACTAAAAAATTACAAGCATTTTTAGGAATTTTAAATTATGCTAGACATTTTATTAAATAATTAGGAAAAAAAGTAGGACCATTGTATAGTAAGATATCTAGTAAATGACAAAAATATTTTAATCAATCAGATATGGAATTAGTTAGAAAAATAAAAGAAAAAGTTAAAAATTTACCACCATTAGAATTATCATTAGATAGCGAATATAAAATAACAGAAACGGATGGATATGAACTAGGATGTGGAGAAATTTTATATTCCAAACCAAATAAAATAGCGATAAAAAGGAAGAAAAGATTTGCAGATATGCTAATGGAAAATATAAGATAAAAGAAAAATATTTGACTAATTTAGATTATGAAATAACGACCATCATACATAGTATAGAAAGTTTTAAATTATTTTTAAATGCCGAATTCACAATTAGAACAAACTGTAAAGCTATAGTAAAATTTATCAAAAAGACAAATTTTGATAAAATAAGACATAAACGATGGTTAAAATTATATGAAATATTAAACGGCTATAAAATTAATATAGAACAAATAGGCAGAAAAAATAATGTTTTTGCTGATACTTTAAGTAGACAAGTTATTAATTTTATAATTCATTATTTTCATGACGCGGATGGATTAGAAGATGTTGAACTTTGGAAATGTCACTCTAAGAGTGCCCCACAAAGATCTAATTCCTGATTCAGAGGAAATAATTCAGAAATACTACCAGAAAGGGAGCGTTGTCTACTAGATAATCTCTGGATGACACGTGACTCTAAGCAAAAATTAGACAGCATTAATGCATTACCTAATCATTTTAGATAGATTCACAATCAAGTAAAAAGTAGAAATTTTAGTTTCTTTGCAGTAGTTAAAGGTAGAAAGACTGCGATATATAATTATTGGCCAGAAGTATTGTAACAAACCCTTTTTTCAAATGATTTTACATATTAGAAGAAGCTTTAAATTTTTGTAGAGAAGTGAAAGGATTTAACTTTTATATATTTGAAAGAGTTAGACAGACTAAGCAACCTTCTAGTTCTCAAGCGTCATCTTCATCTTCAATACAACTTTGTGATAGTTCTGAAACTATGACCAAAGTTGTTAGAAATTTAAATCTTAAAAAACAGTCATTAGAAGAAAGATTACAGATTCTTGAAGGCGAAATCTCCTCATCCCAATAGACTATTAGTAAATATCAACATGAGATTCTTCAGCTACATGACAGTTTAGAAAGATTAAGTTTTAAAGATATTGTTGAAAGGCCTATCTCTAAATATATTGCATCTACCAGTAGAAATTATTCTAATAAAATAAAAAGACTTATTGAATTAATAGATTCTACAGCTGCAGGGCAAGAGAAAACTTTATATGAATTAGAACATAAAATTGGCGATAGTGCCAGTATTGTTCAAAGTGCAATAAAGGAGTTAGTTATACAAGAAATTATCGATTTCTCCCAAATTCTAAACTATTACCACAACAAAAATCGATACTTTCTTAAATACGGCCCGAAATATGAATTAGTCAATAATTCAGCTTTTCTCTTACATAATTATCCTACAATTTCTTTTAACTATACAATTTTTGAATAAGAAGACTTTTTTTATCCAGCTTTAAAATTCGGCATGATAGACATCATATACGTCCTAAACAGATCCTTTAAATTTTTTCCACCCAAATGTAAACAGATTCTTAGTTAGTTAAAAGATTACCCTTTGATGATTCAATTTATTTGCAGACCATCCCTTGTAAATAATGACATAATAATTCCAGCTTATCATTATATATTAATATACGAAGGAGCCAAAAGATTTTGACCATCCAAAAAGACCAATATACAGACAAAAGTTAGACAGAGTGATTACGAAAGACGAATTTCAGAGACCGTTGCAATTATGGAAGCTCAAAATAATAATTTTAGACTTGTAGCTCAATGGAACAATAGAATTATTTTCTGTCAAGAGTATCTTGCTTTAAGGGTTAAAACAGAAAAAATTCCAACGCTTAATATTGAACAAAAACAGCTATATCTTATGACTTTTCAAAAAATAAATGACGAATCAACAGAAAGACAATCAGACACAGAAGAAGAAGAAGAAGAAGAAGAAGAGGAATACATTTCAGATGGCCAAACTAATGAAATGGATGAAGACCTAGAAGAAGCCTACATAGAGACGATGGACAGATAAGCAATTAAAAGAAGAAAGGACAAATAACAGACATACATTTAAAGGAGAAAAAACGTGAAGAAAAACAAAAGCCAGATGAATAGTCTTCGAAGGACAATTATCATACCAAAGAAGTCAAAAAGATATAGCCAGAAGATAAAATTTCCAGAAGGAATCTCACAGGTGTAAAGAGAAATTTAATCATTTGATTACATACCATACACCTGTAAAGTGATAACAGTATTTTTTTTTTTTTGAAAAGTTGGGAAGATGTGATGTACCAACGTCTATAAGTATCGATATCACTCACACAAAGAAATACCGTTGAGAAAATAATAGCATGGCACACTATAACACTTGCACTCAAAAATTCAAAGGCATCCTTGTAAATTCAGTTCTTGTAAGTTTGAAGATTTAAGAAATAAAAAGTAAGTTCTTTTCATACTTTCTCTTTTTAACAATTTTCATTTACTTTATTTAATTTTCGAGCAAGGCCTAAAAAGGGGAAATACCAAGTAAGTAATTAATTTATTCAAAAGCATTAGATTATGTTTTTCAAATAATCGTAACGCTCTTAACCTCTTTATTCTGGATTCCATGATAAAAAATGATAAAGTAATCATCT